TGACCGACGAAACCCCATTTCAGCTAACCTATGGCACCGAAGCCGTAATCCCCGTGAAAATCATGGAGACATCCAGGCGAATTGAAGTCCCTTTAGACGAGGAACTACATGACGAGGACCTAAGGGAAAATCTTGACCTTTTCGAAGAAATCCGATCAGGAGCAGCTCTTCACGAAGCCACACTAAAACAACAGATAGCCCTGCATCATGACACCAAAGTAAAAAATGTGAATTCCAGGTCGGCAGCCTAGTCTTGCAAAGAAATCAGAAAGATTCCCGTGAAGGAAAGATGACCGCCAACTGGGAAAGACCGTACCACGTCCATGGAGCAACGGGAACTGGAGCCTACTACCTCGAATGCCTAAGTGGACAACCGCTACCTCGACCATGTAACGCTACAAAGCTGAAACAATATTACAGCTAGGTCCCTGATAAATGTCGGGGCCTAGTAGTAGATGTGTCATCTCTGACAAATGATAGGGCGCGCTCGACCAAGAAGGCATGTTGAGGTATGAACATAGCCTCCAACCATTAATGAAAGGCGAGTTTATTTCTCATTGGTCGAGCAGAACCTTAGCACGACAGGGACACTTCGATCGAGCTCCACTGTCGAAGTACCCAAGAGGCAGAACACCCAGCTCGCGATGGGCAGTTCATGCCACAAAGTCAAGACCCCGACCGCCATCTTGAACTCATCTCCACAGACTCCTACTCCGCCTCCTCAACACATTTAAACATGTGTCAACCAAAACTAAGGTCGGGCACAAATCTCCACTCATAGAAATTACACATTTCACAAGATAAACAAGTCAAGCGCAACGACAAACAAATATTTAACAATATAATAAAGAGACAAAATAAAGGAATTTACAAATGCCGACCATGAAGGTTGACGTTGTCCAAATATTACAAGAATATGGGCATGCAGGCCCCGATACAAACAATTACAAATTATGGGAACGCAGGCCCCAAACATAAACAACCAAGTCATCAAGAAAATATTAGTCGCTCCATGGAGTAACCTCTTCAATCTCTAGCTCGAGAGAATCGGGAGGAGGGACCACCTTACCATCTACTACCTGAGATAAAACTCTGGCACCTTCAGTGTTGAGCCCCAGATTCAGCACGGCCAGCTTGACCATCATGGTCTCAACACCGTCGGTCAGAGCATCCACATAGTCTGAATCGAGGACTCGGACTCAAGCAACCAGTTTTGCACGAGTCTTCAAGCTGGCGACTCCCTCAAGCTAGTCTTCTGCGGGAAGCATGGAATCCTTTAAGTCAGCGACCTCATTCTCCAGGTTTTTTCTCTCGAGCAACAATGAGTCCCTTTCCTTAGAGGCTTTGACACCCTTCTCCTTCTCTCTTGCCAACTCATCAGCCTGCCCCCAGAACTTTTCCTCGCTTTGCTTAAGGGCAGCCTTTAACTTCCGTGCGTTTTCCTGGAGAGCCTCCTTCTACGACTCCAATTTGCTCAACATGGCAAAAGAGCTGGCACCCTCACATGTGAGGACGATAACCATCTATGTGACCTTCATCAGACCGACCATGCCCGAGGCCAGATGTTTCCTCCTACCTTCCTCATCAAGGTGCCTGATGACAACAGATTTACCATCAGACATAGCCAAGGGAAACCCTTCGAAGAAATCCTTCTCGACAAAGCAAGGAGGAAGTGTGAAGGCTCGAGCAGCTAACCCCTTGTCAATCAAATCCGCAGGTCTACCTTCAGGGCGAATCCTCTTTTTCCCTGACAAGGCCACGACCTGCATGACATCACGAAGACCCGATGAGCCTCTTGACCCGTCCTTGACCTGCTCGGGAATAAGACCAAGGCGCGTGGACTAGTTAGGCTTCACTAACCTTTTGTTGTTCTTTTTCTCCTAAGTTAACTTCAGGAGATGTTCACGATGCTCGGCCATATTACCTGCAAAAAAAAACATGCTCGAGTCAGCCTCACTGGAGGGACATACCTAAAACAAGTTTAAAAAATGCAATAGAGTCACGCGGACAGAGACCCAGAAGAGCCACAACGTCTCCGTAGGTACGACACTCAACAAGCGCCTTGGTGTTGATCGGGAGGGCCTCGAATGTGGGTTTGCCGTCTTCATCGAGAACATCATCTCCTTCCCTCGTCACCCATCTGGACGGGAAGAAACCATCGATGAATGTGTTGAGGATACCGAAGACCCCTTCATCCTCGGCACTCATGCTGCTGGCAGAAGTATGGTTGTGGTCAGGCATATGGTCGTAGTGACCTCGACTCCAATGAGTAAGGAACTTTGAGAGCCTCCCAATATCTTAGTTCTCATCCTCGTTATAACACATTTCTCTATCTTCATCTACGAGAGAAACTGGGTCGAACACCGTGTCCACTGCCTCTTGAGACGAAGGCTACATGACATACCACTTGTCTTTAAAATCACAGACAAAGTCCATGTACATCTGGAACATCCTTTTGGACTGTTTGAAAGAAACCCAACTATGTTTTCCTCCCCTAGACTGTCGTTGAAGATGGAAAACCTTGAAGAACAAAGGAATCGTCGCCATGATCCTCAAGTACCGATAAGTAATCTCAAAAGCTCGTATAAAAGCAATCGCACTGGGGTGCAGTTGAGAGGGCGCCAAGGACAAATGATTGAAGACGCCCATCTGAAAGTCACTGAAGGGCAGACGAAGCCCCAGATCCCTGAAGACGATCTCGTAAATGGGGAAGCAATCTTCCTCGAATGACGAGCATAATCTGGCCGTAGGTATCAGGCGAAGGATCGTGAAATCCACTAGAATCCTCATGGTTGCCTCCATATTAGACGATGATGTACACTTCCCTCCTCATATGGCTAAAGATCGAGGCTATTCCTCGAGGTTCTGGACCAACCCAGGATAATGAAGGATCAATGATCGTGTCGATCAATTGGACACCCTCATCGGCTCCACTTATTTCTTCTACCTCGAACTGCTCAGATGAGTCATTTGGTTTGGCCATTTCACCTGTAAAGCAGAGGAAACCAATGAGTTCGACAACTAAATCAAATCCACCCTTCCACCATAACACAAGTGAAAGAGGGTTGCTACAACCAAACTAGGTCGAACTCATTCAGTAAAAGCAAACAAACTCGTGAACGCGACGAGGAGAATATAAATCCCTCAAGCAACCTCGTGAAGATGACGAGGATAAGATGAAATTCCCGAGCAGTTTCATGAGTTCCACAGGGATGGGATGAGTTCCCCAAGCAATTTCACGAGTTCTATGGGGAACAGGTGAATTTCACGAGTCATTTCGTGAGTATCACGAAGAAAGGTATGAATATCCCGAGAAAAAAAATCCCACAGGTAGTGAAATTCGTCAAGGTTTATCAAAAAAGCCAACCATAAACAAAAATAATCACTAGAAAACACTTACTTGATTAAAGTTGGTAGGGAGTCTGCAGAGGAAGTTACGGCGGCGCTTACAGTTGGAGAAGGAGATGGAGGACAATAGAAAACTAAGGAAGCTAGGGAGAAAGGAGAGAGCGAGAGTTTGGAAATGTTACAAATGAACCCTTAGGCACTATTTATAAGGCTAATTTGAAAGATGAAGCATCGCGTCGAACAGCGCATCAACCGCCCATCTCCTCGCCACCTACATGCTCAGGATCATAATGACCCCTACTCCCTAAGCTACCATTTTATTCCAAAGGCTACACCATATGGCTACATCCTGCAACTTTCTTCTCCCCGCGAGTCGAGGAGCAGATAAACTTTCTCTGTGCACAAACTCCAATCTCTACTCAAGTAGTCGCAACCAAAAGCTATACCACGTAGCGTACGAAGTAGACATCCTCCTAACTTTCGTCTCCCCGCGAGTCGAGGAGCAACTAAAATGTTCTCCATGAACAAATTCCAATCTCTGCTCAAATAGTCGCGCATAAAAATGACCCTGTCCCTCGATGCGGTGGGAGACCCCGACGAAACTGTGCTCACCAAACAGGGAAGTTGGTCTTATGTCATAACTCCTTTCATCATGAGCAACGACTTATGGGGCTCCTGTTTTGGACTAGGTCTACACTTGGCCTAAACATCATACAAGGCCCAATCCAACTATGTTGCATGAGAGGACCAGCAGGAAAGAGTCTTCCCTTGACCACGTCGGACAGTGATTCCACTCTTTTGGTCGACCAGGCTTTGTCCTACGGGGATAACCCTATGACTAGCAAGGAGGGCCAATGACGCTCAGGAGTTCCTTGCGTGCATCTTCCGCTCCTCTCGTCAACCAGGATATGTCCTCCGAGGACAACCTCACGACAAGCGAGGAGGACCGACGACAGTCGAAAGGACCTCGCGAGCATTCTCTTCGTAGGGATGACACCCAACACCTTCGAATGTCAGAGTCCTCTTGACCCCGAAAAGGCCGCATCCATATCCTCCTGATAATTTGGAGGAGTCCATTCAGGTTGAGGACCACGTGCTAATCCTCACTACGCACGTAGGACCTGACAATCTCCATTTTGGGTCAACTTGCTTAGCCCAACAATTAGGACATTGACTCAGCGCTGGGGCTATAAATATTCTTTGACTTAAGGTCATGTATTCATTCATTCACTTATACTCTCATACTTGCTTGCACTTGCTCTGAACCTTACTTTCACATCAGAGTGTCTTGCAGGTACCTCCTACTTCACATTCAACTGCTGTTCGACTTGAAGTTTGTGGACTTTGACAATTCTTTCTGAAACTTGTGGTCAACTAAAGGATGCAAAGAAAGTTTGAAAATGGAATCTCTAATGTTTAAAAATTTTAAAATTTAAAATAAGAAGTAGTTTTAATTATTTTTTAAGAAATTTCAAAATAGGAAGAAAAAACTACTCCGAGCATAGGCTAATGTTAATTAGATTGTGTATCCATTTTCTCTTTTATATATTATGGGTTAGCCCACCTTTTAATAAAAAAACATTCTAAACTGAATCAAACAATAAACAAAAGAATATCTTTGTATTTAAAAATTACAAACTAAGAATGCAGTCTTAACTAAAAGTTTGTGAGTCAAAAAAGTTGTCGTTTGTCGCTATTTTCTCTCTAAACAACATGTCACACTCATTCATCAACGAATCACTTATATAAAAAGAGCTTCCACTACCATTTTCACATGGATTATGCTTTTCCCTCTTAGCTTTTGGAGCTTCTATAACTTCATCAACAACAACACGATCATCAGAAGAACGCTTACCAGTTAGCTTCTGCACAACAGATTTAAAACTCATGGCATCAGTTTCCACATACTCGGTAGTGACAATCACAATCTTCACTGCCTTCTTCTTATTGCTGCAACCACCACTCGCCATATTCAATATTTTCACTTTTCAGATAATAATAATATTTCACTTTTTGAAACTTTTTTTCTACGATTATTGACGTAAATTATGTTTATCTGCATGCATGTGTTGAGAATTATTATATATTTATATTGAAGGATGCGCCATGGGGTCTTGTGGGGTTGAGTTGACAATGGGGAAAGGAGGTAGAGAGTTCTTTCTTAGATGATATAAGCTGACCCTTAGTTTGTACTATGTGAAATTAAGGGAATGATTCTTCAACTCTGAATGAATCTTCCAAAAGTAGGATTGGTCAACTGAAGATTCTTACGGTCATGCCTCATACTATGCAAACATAATATCCATGCAAAATTCTTCTTAGAATTTATTTGGTAAAGAAAATTAGTCTTAACTTTTTCAACTCACATAAATATAAATGAAAAAGTTCGATCAGAAGATTTTTTTTTATCAATTTATAATTTCTCTCAAATTTTAGGAAATATATAAACATTGCTAATGTTTTTTTTTTGTTGCAATAATACCACCGCTCCCTAATTCTTAGTCATCTTGTAATTAATTCTCTCTAGATTTTTTTTTCTGAGGAAACTGAAAATTGGATGTAATGCAACATTCTTTTATATGTATTTCTTTAAAATATATTCTCATTAATATAATACTATTAATTTGTTAAAATATTAAAAATCAATATTAAACACATAGATTTAAAAATGTTCATAGTTTGAACATTTTAACAAGTTTATTTTAAAATTAGTTTATTTTATTTAGATAAAAAATTTCATATAATTAAAAAAAAAAAACATTTCTACCCACTTAACTATGTAATCTTTTAATCTATTTTAATTCAATGGAGACAACTATACAACTGGGTCAAATAGATTGCGTTTGAGTAAGATTTTTTTTTTCCAAATGGAATGGATGTGTCAATTACTATAGTTCGATGTGTTAATTATTATTTGGGGTGAATGTTCGATTTGATATAAAATTTGCATATTTAAAAGGATTTTCAGATCTTTGTGGAAACAAATAAGTATAATATATTTGATATGGTTTATAAGCTTCTCAAGTTTACTTTAATCTTTCCAATAACAACAACAAGTATGAAAGGTATTTTTGAAGAGTCGACTACGTAACAAAATGAGTTATCAATGGTTAAATGATTATCTTGCAACTTTTATAAAAAGAGATATTCTTAAAACAATTAACAAGAATGTTATTTTAGTTCATTTAAAAAAATGAATAATAGACAATTTTCATTATAAATATATTTTATTAAATAATATTATTTCTTATTTTAAATATAATTTAGTTTATTTTTTTATTTTATATTTAGCCACACTAATATATAATATCTAAATCCACCCCTAATCACGTGTGAAAAACTAATCACAATATTATTTGTATATTAGTAAGAGAAGTTATTTGAAAAAGAATGTAATTGTCCAAAGATAAATAAGACTCCAAAAAAGTTCGTGGAGGAAGAGGAGAAAAAAAGAATAAAATAAATGGAGGAAGACAAGAAACTCGTTCTTAAGGAGTTTTCTGTCTTACTTAGAGATGTTATTATGATCCAGAACAAAGATAAGTGGTTTTGAAAGTATTCTAAAGATGACACTTTTTCAACGGCATCCACTTATCTAATTCTGGGAGAGAATTTGATCTCCTCTTTGACACCTCTTTCGCTTCAGAGCCATCTTTTTTTCCTTGTTTGGAGTAGTTAGACTCCATTGAAGATCTTAGTTTGTTTCATGGCAATTACTATAGGAATAAAATAGATTTCCTTCTAAAGTTAATCTATTTAGGAGAGGGGTGTTATCAGACACTAGTAGCCTCACCTGTCATTTTTACGGGTATCCGACTTAGTTGTTTTTCACCTTTTTGTTACTGATGAGATAGCTATTCAATGTGGTATAGAATTTTCAGCATGTGGGTGTTGCACCCTAAAATTTGCCCTTCTAATTTATTTTTATCCGGCTTAGGCTTTGCATTGCATTTCCATACAGTTCATTAGGTCATCTACATGAGCATGCATTTCACTCCATAAGGAACCTGGGTTCAATAAAATAAGTAATCAAAAAGCTAGGATTTTACAGAGTTTTGTGGTGCGCATAACAAATAAAGTTTGGTTCCTTCTACAGGTAATGGTGTGCAAATTAGAGTTTCTCTGGCTTTGAGGATATCATTTACGTTCAAGGGTATGCAATGTATTCCTTCACGAATCTTGGTTTTGAATTAGGATTTGATGTTATGGTTACAATGGACTGCTTCTTCAAAGGTTCCCGAAGGCCATTGAATTAAGATTTTGGGTCCTATATTTATCATGGGTATCCTTCCTTCAATAAAAGAGCTTGATCTTTCATCAATTCAAGGTCTTGTGGTTGAAATTTCAAGTTAAGTCATGGCACAAGGGATGAGGTTGAGGATTCATCATGATCAAGGTCTAATGTGTTCTCATTTATTTTGATTATTTTAGACTTAAGGATTGAATTGAGTCCCATTTTTCATTTAAGTAATTACTTAAGGCAAGAAGGCAAGTTTCATTTTTTTGGAAGAGGAATACTTAAGGCATTATTATGTCCATTACAAGTTCAGGAGCAATTATATAACTCATGATTCAAAGACCAAATTTATCCTTTACATTGTAAATCCAAACACAATTATCATTGCAAATCATTGATAAAATACAAGAAAAATACAAGGGCTGATACAATTTCTAATGCATGCTTCACGTGGTAGCCTCTCAAATCTGATTCATTTCCACGTAACGTTATTCAAAGATGATAATTGACAAAGAGAAAAGGGAGTAGAAATACAAGTCAATTCAAAGGGAATTTTGGTTCAAACTTAGTACAACATGAGATTCATCGCAATTTCAATTCACTACAAGAAATTCATCGCACCATTACTCCAATTGCATTCCATACGTGAAGGTTACAAAGAACATCACATTAAGTTACTTAAAAACAAAACCTATATCTATTCCTAAAGTACCAAGTCTCCATCCAATTTTTCCTTCCATCTTCATATCTAATCTTCACAAAAGCTTCATCTTCAACTAAGCTTCATGACTCGCTCTACGACTTCGAAGTCCTCATAACCATGGCTATCCCATCACCAATGTCACGAGCCATGAGCTTGCCATTATTATCAATAAACCACATCCCTGTTCAGAAGCATAACAAAAGTACATCAGAATTAAATCGAAAAGTCAGGAAAATATCAATACATAAGAGCATGAATCTGTAGCATTACTACGGAAAAAAGAATGGAAATATCAAAATGATAAAACCAGTTCAGTTCACTGCATAATTAAGACAAGTCCCAGAGAGGATTCATTCACATCTCATAGAACAAGACTACAAAGATTCATTATTTACAAACTCACCAGAAAAATTCTGAGGTCTCTCTCTTCTCTCTCTGCTTCATCTTCATCTTTCTGCAACTTCGACCATCACCACCTTCATCATATTTGGCACAAATGCTCCACACTCCAACCTTCATCATCTTCTGAGATCATCCTTAATCACCATCATCAGTTCTTCCTGAGGCTTCATCAGCAATCACAACCTTCATTCTTCATCATCGACGTTGAAGCTGCAAGAACCAACAACATCGCAACAATAATGCAAAACAACGAAAACGCATAAGGAGAGGAAGTATGAATCTGAGATAAGAATCGTACCAAAATGCATACCTGGTTTCTCTGGTTTCTCATCATCTTCATCAAATCGGGAGCGGGAGTAAACTATGACGCTTTCTCCTTTTATAGTGTGCACAATGTGGTTTACGTTATGCTACAGACTCAATCAGAAATCTGAGATGAAAGAAACAAAACGGTGAAGAACGGAACCAAAGCGGAGGCTGGTCGAAGTTTCGACGGTGATGAATCAGATGAAGGAACTGTTTGTTGGAACATGTCCATGTTCCAATATGTTGAATTTAAAAATTTCTCAAATCCCACATTGTTAGAATATCTTTTTGGTTGAAAAAACCATTTAGTCCCACATTGCTCATGTGAGAAATATTAACTATTTTACTTCACTATATAAGGAGTGCACATGTTTCATTCCAAAACACACCAAAAACTATTCTATTAGTTTTTCTTTCCTCACTCTCATAACTCTGCGTCTCTCGAATTGTCGAAGCGCCATCTTCTTCCCCTTTCTTCCTACTCGTTGAATTTTCCGAGTATTTTCTTGAATTCTCTTTAGATGATTATGTTAATTTCTCCTCATTTGAGTTGAGAAATTTTCAAGTTTAATCTTTTGTATTCTCTTTGGAGAATTATTTGAATTTCTCTTTGTTGGAGAAATTATTATGAGTGGTCAAATGACTATTATTAATTTCTCTTTGGAGAATTATTTGAGTTTCTTTTTGTTTGAGAAATTATTATGACTGATCTTTGTACCAGATACTACGAGTGGTGTTGATACCATATTTGAACGGTCTTGTACCATCAGAGGGTGTATTTCTAGACCGATTATCTATCATGCAAGTAGTAGTCGTACAATATAGAACTGGGCTATTTTATCCTAGAGGCGGCGCGGTAGTTCGACTACTTTGCATAATTTTTAGCAGTGCCGCGAAACGTCTTAAACAGAGCGACCTAGTCCGTGACTCAACCTGGTAATTTCTTCGGTGGAAAATATTTTAAAATCCGAAAACAACAATTTTAAGACGTTTCAAACTGCCATGGCTACTAAAGAAATTATTGGTTCTTTTGCGGATATTGTCTTTGAGAAATCGTTCATGTTTGAGAGAAGTCACTTCAAACGTTGCAAACAAAATATGAAGTTCTTAATGTTGAAAAAAGTTGCTAACGTTCTGATCGATGACATTCTGTTGCTCCTTCTGGATCAATGGAACAAACTAACGGTTGTAAAACTGGAGATTTAGAAGGAAAACTTAATAGTGTTGAAGTTGAATCTACTGCACAGATTAAAGCGAACGATTTACAACATAGGAAAGAAATCACCTTATAGAAAGAGAATGAAAATCTCTACAAAATCATA